CTTAAGGCGCACGAATATACACGGTTAATGACTGACAGCACAGCAGTTTACTTCCTTGAAAAGAATCAATAAAAGCCATGCGTTGACCCGATTCGGTGGCTCAGTCTGACTCTCTGAAGGCTGAGTCCCTTGGTCTCGCTCTTAAATCTTACTTTTGTCTCTTGTACTTATTCAATCTGCGCCGCCCCTCTCGTGTCCCATTTGCCCTTGCCACGCTGGACGTGACAGGCCATGATACTGTTTCAGAGGTAAGTGTAGCTTTCGTGTTATTGTTATAAATAATGACAGCAGCTACCATCTTGAGAGGGCACAACGCAAGGCCTTTTATTTGCATCATTTCACAGGCACCTCGGTAACTGCCATAAGGCAGACTCCATTTCCCCATTTTGCAGATGAGAAAGCTGGGCCGGAGGGTGACCCGCAAGCCACTAATTAGAAGTGAACTCAGGATCTGGGCCCAGGCAGGCTGATCACAGAACCTGTGCGCTCATCGCCATTCCGTTTCGGGTTAGGTCTCCCTCCCCCCTGCCCACTGCACTCACCATAACACAGAACCTGGCTGTATGGTTTGGTGGCACATGGGACTGGCTTGTTCTCTCTCTGCTCTGGTTGTTTTGTATGTGGTCTGTGTCCTTGAGGAAGGAGTGGGGGGAATGGGCTGCACCCCCATCTCTGGGTCTCCCGCTGGGCCCACAAGGGCAGAGCACAGAACATGTGCTCAGTGCCCCCCTGGGGGAGCCCGCTCTGCCCCTCCCCTTCCCTTCTTGGCCCCCACCATCTCTGCTTCATGCATCAATCCACAGGCTGCCTCTGGGGGGTAACGCCACTCATTGGGCACTGGCCATGTGCCAGGCATCGCTGAGCTCGGCAGATGTGTTGTTTTGATTAATCCCCTCTACCCTTCTGTGAAAGAGGGGCTGTTAGTCCCATTTACAGATGAGGAAACTGAGGCTCAGAGAGGTTATGTGCATTGCCTAATGCCACACAGCCAGTGAGCAGTGAGACTGGGATTTGAACTCAGGCCCATCTGATTTGGGAGTACATGGATTTTCCCCCTTTCTGTCTTCCCTCCTACACCCTCTTCCTTCGTATTCTCCATCGAAATCCCATCACTCTTTTAAGACCTTCAGTCATACTTTTTCCTTCCCTACTAATAAAATGTTAATTGATGATAATATTTAATAATGCATTTTTTGGACTCTTGTCACCAGCCAGCACTTTACACCTTATCTCATGTAATCCTCCCACAGCCTGATGAAAGGAGGTGTTATTATTATGCCCATTTTACAGATGAGGAAAATCAAGGCACAGTGATGCTAGATAACTGGCCCAAAAGCTTGTAGTGAGTAAATATTAGCGATTTGCCTTCAGGGCCTGCTCTCCTAGTCACTCTACTAAACCCCACGCTGCCTCCCCTGCTCAGACCTCTGTGACTGCTCCTAAGCCCCCAGTCAGCACTGGCGGCTGGTACGTCTCCAATGGCTCGTCAAGGCCTCTGTGTCATGCCATCTCCTAACTACTCTGCAAGTGTCAGTAAGGGGGCACCTGGGTCTCCACTCCCATATGCCCTATGGTGACCAGTGTGGTCCTCTGGCCCCCAGGAGCTCAGGAAACAGCTGACTCCCTGTGTTGCCAATAGGCAGAGGAGATGGAGCTGGGCCCTTACCCTGTAGAAGATGGGGAGAGAGTCCCAGGTGTAGGGATAAGCAAACGCAAGGACCCGGAGCATCTTACAGAGCCTGGGCCTCTGGAGTTCCAGAAACCTAAATCAGGGAAGGAAGGGGGGTAGAAATGGAAATGAAAGATGTGTCAGTAAAGTACACACACACACGCACGCAAATTAAAAATAAGTGAGGGCAAGCCGTCAACAGGAGGCAAGCATTTATGCACAACCTCCTCCAGCAGCTTCTCCACCAGCCTTTTCCCTCCTCCTCCCACACCCGGGGGAGTGGCTCAACCTCAGATGTGAAAACATCTCAGGGAAACCATCTCCTAGCATCCAGACAGAGCCAGGAGGAGCTCTGGGCAGAAGTCCTTCAAGCACCAAGTTACCTAACTGCCAAAGAGCCTTTTAGAAGTAGTGACCACCAGGACAAGGGCACAGGCCCGTGGGGTGAGCACATCTGCAAAGGCTGAGATGCCTCACTAGTCAGAGCCACCCCAGTGATGTCTGTGCAAAAGCCCTGGTTCAATTAGGTGTTTAATTACTCTGAGAGATTTCTAGATTTTTAATACCACACATGGAGATAGTGGCCCGGGGAAACTGAATAAACGTGGTCTTTCCTTCTCTGCTTATCACCATCTCCACCTGCCTCCAACCCAAAGACAAGTGAGGCCAACATTAACACAAGTGGTACTGACTGTCACAGACGGGCAGGATGGAATATGAAGGGGTCTCAGGTGGCTTGGGTCCAGCCTGGGGAGGGGTCAGCAGCTGAGGGTGTGGAGAGCGGGGCAAGGAGAATGTCTACACAAGACCACAGCCCTGAACTGCGGCTTGGGTAAAGGAATGCTCACGCACCCGGGGCCAGGTGGTGGGGCAGGTACTTGCTTCAGTACCGCAGTGTGTCGTGGAGAGCTCGGTCCTCCCTCAGTGCCCGCAGGGCTGCATGGGTGGTGTGCAGAGTACACGGGTGGTGTGCAGAGCCAGGGCACCACGGCTTGTGGGGTGGCTGCTCTGGTGTGGTCTGAGGACAGTGGAGGCACTCGGGCCTTCTCAGCCTTCCCCACAGTTCTGCCCCTTATCGTGCTCCCCTGCAGGGGTGGCGTCTGTGACCTGCCATCACTCCTCACCTCTGCTCCCCGACCCCCTATCCCTATCCATCCCTCTCCCCCAAATATATCTGCTGCTCCCTGCAGCACAGGCCCATTTGCCCTGGCCAGGTTGTCCATGTTCCCTATGAGCCAGTGCAGTCACCTGACCACAAGCCCCACTGCTGCCCATATCCTTGGGTATGGGACATGGCAGAGACTCCCATGTCTGCCTCCTGGGTGGTTGGGAACCTTCTCGAGGGCTGGAGCTGGGGCTGCTCAGGTCTGGATCCCCTGCACCCAGCTCAGAAGCACATCTGAGGACATGAACATCACAAGGCTGTGTGTTCTGCCCAGTCCTCAGGGGTGCTGAGCATGGGGATCCCTGTTCTGGGGTAAGAGGCAGCCCTGTAGGCCCCGAGAAGCCCCAGGACCTCCAAGGACAAGCTCCAACTTCACCAGCACGTCTCTCCTTTCCCAACCCTGCCCATAAATCAGAGAAGTATGAGGCGGGCATAGGGCGCAGAAGGGAAGGAAGCGCAAGGAGAAGGAGGAAGAGAATTAAGGGACCTCAATTCATCATCCCCCCAAACAAGAACCCCAGCCTTGGAGTAAACTACACACCCCGGGATAGGCGAGGCAGCACAGAGCCGTGATCGCGCATGCAGTGTTTGGTCTGAATACCCTGGGTTTGAACCTGCCTCTGCCTTTTGTGACTGCATGACCCTGCAGGTCATGTGACTTTTGAGCGGCTCAGAATCCTGGCCTATAACACAGGGACAACAACTGTACCCCTTCATGGGCTTGCTGCAAGGATTTGATGAAATGATACTCACAAGGAACTTATAACTATGCACAGCACAGAGTAACACTCACTAAACGGCAGCTCTTATAAAAACGTGTGTCATGGGACACATTCTACCCCCGCTCCTCATTTTTTAGCCACATTGTACCAGAAAATAGAAACAGGAGGGAGCAGATAGGTTCTGGGTGATTTGTCTAAAGCCAGATGACTAGTAAGAGGCAAAGCTAGGATTGAAACCCAGGGCGGTACGGCTTCTGTTTCCCACGCCCACCCTCCAGCAGCCTGAGCTGGCCTCAGACCACTACCTAGCCTTTGTCCTGCTCCAGGGGGCAAACTGAACACACTCCTGCTGCCCCAAGAACCAGGGCCTGTCTCAACAGCCTCCTCAGTTTCTCCTTGAAGATCCAGGTGGGCCATGGCAAGTGTGCTGCCCCCTTCTCCATGCACTGCCACTGCCTATCATTTCTGGGTTAAAAGAGGCTCGCTGGGAAAGCATGCTCTTTCTGTGGCCACTTACACAGGAAGAAAGCTGTCTCTGGCTGGTGAGGGCCATCCCCCAAACCATGGATTTCCTGTGACTTGAGACAACATTTCGACCGGCCTGATAAAGTGCTTCCCCAGGGGCAAACGAATCAGCCTCTCCAGCTGCAAAGCCGAATCTATGGGGCAAAAAAAGGAGAAAAAGCAGAACAGAAAAGAGACAGCAACAGAGAATAAAAGGCAGAAGGGCCAGCAGCCACTGAGAGGGGCCCGCTTCTACTAAAGTGCAATTCCAGGTTACGCCACAGGGTGTCGCCACAGTCAGAGATTCTGAGAGGGAGGGGCCGGAGCCACAGAATTCTGCAAAGGACACCAGACCTCAAAGCTCAGCCTGATATGGCAGTCCCTGTACCCCAGAGGTGAGGGGCCAATTTACAAGCAGGCAGGCCTCCTCTGCCTAGAACCAGTTTGGCAAGAAACACCAGATTTCTGGAGAAGACTCCATCAAGAGAGGGTCAATGCAATACCAGTCTGTTCTAAAACCTGATCAATCTTGTTGCAACAAAGCTGGAAGGATTTGCAAGCGAATTCTGGAACTAGTGCTTGAATCTAGTGGGACTTTGGAAACATCATTCTATTGCAGAGGGATGTGTGTGTGTGTGTGTGTGTGTGTGTGTGTGTGTGTGTGTGTGTTGGATGTGTGTGTGGGGGGGTATGGCTGTTTAGTTGTTGCCTGGGTGACATTGCAGGGATGTGGACATTTCCACGTGCTGACCTCTGGCCCTAGCAGCACATCTGGCCGAGCCCTCTGACCTCCAGATGTGTCTGAGAACCACTGTCTGTTGAGGCTCCTGTCTCCAGCTCTGACCTCCAAACCCACTTCCAGGCCTGCTCCATGCTGCTCTGACCTGCCACAGCATCACGGCCATAGCATGGCTCTCATAGCACAGCTCACTTTCCCCAGTAATGACAATTTTTTTCCCCTCCCTCACAGCACTGACCACAAGGCATTTCACTGAGCAAGTATTTGTCAAGAAAATCAATGGTTGGGTGCTGTGGATGGATGAACAAAAAAGTCCCCACAGTGACTCGTGATGCACACTAAACACCATGTAACTAATTCCTAAGGGAGTGATGCCTTCCTGGGCTTTGAGGCAGTTGGCAGGTATGAGCTGGCTGGGTCTATGTCACCTCACCTGGTCTAAGAGCCATAGAGAGGTCACACACTCCCTCATTACCCCTCTCAAATGCAATTTTCTAGAGGTCATGTTCCTTTGAACTAAGTTCCATGTAATAAGGACCAAAAACAAGCAGGGGAATCCACAGCTCTCTATGTGGGGATTTACCTGAAGGACGTGTACTGTGATGGAATGAGTGCCATTTAGACCATATAGTCTGGTAAACATGGGAATAAGGGAGAAGCTACTAAGGAGGTTCCCGGTCTCCTGCCATGCCCAGAGAAGGAGAAGGTGGTTTTCTGCCACTCCTGGCCATACCATGGATTTGGGGAACAGGAGGGAGGGACAGGAGAGAAATCAGAAAAGATACTGGCATTGTAGAATGCCCAAACCAGAAAGAACTCACAGGACATCTTCTCAAATGCCCTTGTTTAAGATGTGAACTGAAGCCCAGATGGGGGCAATGACTGGCCCGAGACCACACCACAAGCTATGAAATCGGGGACTCCGGAGGGCTCTGGCCTCCTCTCCACCTGCTTCTCCTGAAGTTAATCAGGGCCAGAGTCACTCTCTGCCCAGGAGTCATCTTCCTCACTCCTCAGACCCTGAAGACAACGAAGTTAGGGAATAAAAACAGAGGACAGGCCTTGTCAGAGCAGGGAAGCCATCAGCATGGATAGGAAAGAGGACAAGGTGAGGAGGAAATGTAAGGGCCTCAGGATAGGACATCCCTTTCCACCTCTGGCTCCGAGAATGGGGTCTTTGCCTCCTTCCTTCCCTTCTGATCCAGCACAGCACCCATGTCAGTGGTTGCTAACCAGGGGGTCCTTAGGGCATGGAAGCTGAGTCCAAGGAACTGTCTTCCTGGGAAGATTACTGTCCCTGATGAGCACAAGGCCAGTCCTCAGCAGGACACACAAGGCGCTTCAATCCCCAGCAGCCTTTGGCACTTGTCTCTAGCCGCTCTCCCCCTTCCAGCCGGGCAGGCTCTGGAAACCCGGAAGCTCTTTGCTGCCTCCCAACAGTCCCCTCTTCTCCGGCCCCCTCACCTTTGTCCAGGCTGTTTTCTCTGTCCAAAGGTCCTTCCCTCCTTTCCAGCTAAAGTGTTCAACCTCTCTCAATGCTCAGTCCTAATGCCACTTTGCAGAACCCTGGGCATCCAGGCAGGTGTCATTTTTTTTTTTAAGCGGAGCCATCCTGTCACCTGTTGGCAGCTCAGCATCAGCTCAGCTCGGGTCAGGACTTGAACTGCTGTTGCTCAGAGCTCAAACTCTTGAGCGAGCTCTTAACCAACTGAGTCACTCGTCCGGCCCTAGGTGTCATTTTGTATCATCATCATTTGTGTATGTTACACTCTGTAATGCTATACTCTAAAGGCCATTTCCCCTGGCCTTCACAGGAAATGATTACTCCCATCTTTGCGGGGGGAGGTCTGCAGTCTCTCTCTCCTCATGCACTGGGCGCTCTGAGGGCAAGGACTGTGCCTCACTCCTGGTATTCCCAGATCTTAACCTGATGCCTGGAGTATGGCAGGCATTTAAGGAATGCTGAGTGGTTGGTTGGATGGATGGATGGATGAATGGATGGACAGACAGATGGACGGATGGACAGATGGATGGGTGGATGGATAGATGGGTGGATGGATGGAAAGATGGATGGATGGAATAGAAGCAGAAGTGCCCCATAAATAAACAGAAATAATCCATTTCATTGACAAGGACAAAGCGTCCAAACACAGGCATTCAAGAGATTCCTGACCAACCTGCCCTGCCAAACAAGTTTGTCCAAAGGTACCACCAGGCTTGCCACATGCAAAAGACCTATTCATTGTGTCTGAACAATCAGGGGGGGACTTCTGGCTAGAAGGAAATAATCTACCCTGGTGGCTTATAGGTAATTCAGGAAGCTTAACAACAACAACAAAATAATAAAAAGCAGACAGATGTTCCAAGAATTTGCATTGGGAGTTCATGAGAAAGCAGTCCTGGGATCATGAACTCTGGGATTGTTCCTGCCACACCCATGAAGCCTTCCCAGTCCCCTCAGCCCACAGCGCTGCTCACCTCCCTGTGATCCTAAATTCCAACCACCAAAGTCACATAGCCTTGCAGGAGCTAACCAGCCAGGACAGTGACTCGTCCGATGACCAGGTCCGGGTGTGTCCAGGCCCGTGGACCAGGCCGCTGTCGGTGAGCCCATGTATCCAGGCACAGTGCCTCCCGGGCATGCTTCACCTCTCTTGGGTGGCTTTTAGCATCTTTGTTACTTTCCTATGTGTGTTACTCCTTGTCTCACCCAAAGCAGGGACTTACTCCCTCCATCATCTGTGCAGCCCTCCCAGGCAGCCCTCTGTGCTGGCCTGGGACAGGGCTGCACTTCAGAAAGAGCTTTTAATCACCACATTCCTTGGGGAATTGGGGGAGAAGGAAATAATCGCCCTATGACATCTGATTTCATTTTCTACACTGTGGGACGATCCTATCTCCTCACAGGTTTAGGGGAACTCTGTGATTTCCAGGAATAGGGAAGAGAGAGTTCACCCCCACCCCCACCCATGCCCAGGCCTTTCCATGGGACAAAGTAACACAAAACCGGGTTCTGAGATTGTGCCTAGAAATGAGCTTTACATCCCTGAAAGCAACTGCACGCTCCAACCTGTCCCAGGACAGGTAAGTGGAGGGCAAGTTGGGGCAAGCACTTCTGACTCTGCTTAAAAATCTATCCGTCCATTCTTACAGAAAACCAGTTTGTCAAGTTTGTGAAACTTGCCTACCTCTCTGTCCCATTTAACCTGTCACCCAAAGAAAGCTAGAGTCAAAATCACTGCGGAGAAGTTATAGAAGCATGTCTCTCCCTTCCCGTTTTCTTCTGGGCAAAGGGAAAGTGGCTGGATGCAGGTAATAGCAATTCTTTGAAGCCTGCAGCCGTCTAATAGGAGGACTCACTGGAATTGCAGTTGAGTGGATGAATGGTCAGGTGCCAACTGCCAGCCTACCTTGGAGCCACCAAAGGCCCCCAGCCTGGGAAGAACCCAGCACCCTGGCACCATCTAGAAATGCTGTTGCCCCGACACCACCATTTGAGAGGTTTCCTAAGTAATTTAGGGAACTGGAGCTTTGGGCAGTCACTTTCACAAAGAGATGAATAAACTAGTTATCCTCAAAACAATGTCTCTTGCACTCACTCCAATAAGCTTTCTTGAGTGAAAGGAAAAAAACAGAGGGACTTAGAGCCAGTGAGCTGGGCATGACTCACGGCCATGGGGCTTCCCCTTGGGGGAGTGTCCAACATCTGAATCTCATCTTTCACCCAATCACTCATATCCAGAGGCAGGCCTCCTCATGAGTAGCAGACTGCACGTTTATGGGGTGCTCCCACTGATATGATCATATCATTTGGGGGCCAGGCTTGTGCTAGGTGTTCTGGGTACATGTTACCTGTAATCCTTATATCAATTTCACAAGGTAGGTGTGCTGGTCCCATTTTACAAGCGAGCAAACTAAAGGTCAAGGAGGATAAGTGATTGTTTAGCAACAGGACCGGCTACATAAATTGCAGGGCCCAGTGCCAAGTGAAAGTGTAGGCCCCTCTTTTCAAAAATCATTAAGAATTTCAGGAGAGCAATAGCAGAGCCTTAAACCAAGTATGGAGCCCTTCTGATCCCGGGGCCCTGAGCAATTGCACAGGCTGTGTGTGCCCAGGCAGCTGGTCCCGCCTGGCCACAGGAAGTCCACGTGGAACTGAGTCCCAGGCTCCCGAGGGCCTCTTCTGCTGTCCCTTCCCACAGTCCATGGAGCTGCATGTGAGGCCCCCCTCCCCGTCCCACCTGAGACAGTGGCCAAGTACCTGGAGTAGCAGGAGAGGCCGGTGCTAATGATGGTGTTCAGCACAGCCAGGGTCATGTAGAAGTCACGGAAGGTGGTACACACCAGTGTGTCAGGGAACGCATAGGCGGAGTAGGCGATGGCCGAGCCTGGGGAAGGAAAACCAGCCTTGGGAAGAAGCCACGACTCGACTTGGCACTGTCTGGACTCCTCGGGAAGACCAATCCCTGCAGCTGGCTGAGCCTCACCATCCCCACAGACCATGAGCCGTCCTGCCACCACACCCTTGCTTGTGCCACCACCCCTGCCCAGATGTCCTCCTCTCTCTTCTCTGCCTACCCAGATCCTATCCTGAGAATTTACATTGCTCCACAGGCTTTACATATATTAACTTGCGTAATCTTTACAACCACCATCCTGCACTAATCCTCATTTTACAGATGAGGAGACAGAGGTCCAGAGCGGTTTAATAACTCATGCAGGGGCACACAGCTAGAAAGCGGCAAAGCCAAGCTTCAAGCAGCTCAGCGATAACCCCTGCTTTTAATTACATGCTGTGGTCCATGATGGCACCCCAGCGTGCTCAGCTTTGCTCTGAGTGTGTACATTTTGCCTGTCCGATGGCACGGGGTGTCCCTTGTGGAAAGGTCAAGGTTGTAGGGAGGGAGGACCCTTGTTGCAGGGAGGGAGGATCCTTGCTGAGGTGAGGCAAATCATGTCAGTGGGCTGCAGGACTGGCCACCTGAAAGGCTGGGTATAAGAGGCTGCCTCAGTGGTTTGTTTTGTCTTAGGTTTTGGAGTTTGTGAGAGAAGGGTTCACGAAGGACTTTCATGAGACCTGTCTGCTGCAGCTTTTATTTGAAAGTACAAGGGAGATTATTTGAAAGTTCAAAGGGGCCAGGTGTGTCTGGGGCCTGGACCAGATGGCCTCTCCAGGCACCCTCACCTACTGAGGTCCCTTTTGGGAGAGCCAGCCACAGGCCATTCAGCACAGGGTCTGAGAGGTTAGGCCTAAGGTCACTTGTTATTCCAAACACACAGAAACTTGGAATTCTAGCTTAAGGATGAGACACGACTCAGGCCACACAACCTTTGCCTCTGATGCCATTTGACAGGTGGAGTCTAGTGAAGCCAGGTGATGTTCCCAGGGTCACACAGGCCTAGAATCGCCACCTCCTGGATACAGTCAGCGCTCCCCATTCCAGCAGACTGCCTGTGAGATTTCAGCTGGGAATTGCCTCCAGGGTGACAATCTCTTCCCTCAGCCCAATACCACAGGGAAGTTCCCATCTGGACCAGGATATATTTGCTCTGTGTATGTTGACTGGGGCTTGAGTGCCAAGCTTTGTGGGCGATACAAGAGCGAGGAGCCTCAGACCCTGTCAGAAACTGCAGCGGGAAGCAAAATTAATCAGCGCCTCCAGACGGGTTGCAGTGTGAGGTAGGCGTTCAGGATGGGCGGGCATCCAGCAAACAGGCTGACCTGGGAAGCCTCCTTAGGAGGTGGGGGGTTCTGACATGGGCCTGAGGGCAGGGAAGGCAGAACGGGAGATGGCATTGGATGCCAGACTAAGGAAAGTGAACTTTCTCTTTCAGGCAATAGGGACCAACCGGAAGGTTTCTGAGTGGGGGATGAAGGGTAACTAGCTGATCGTGGTAATGGCTACTAAGTGCCAGGCGCTGCCTGACGTGCTTCACTTACAAAACACATTTAATCTTCATAATACTCCTGTGAGAAAGATATTATGCCAATTTCGTAGATGAGAGAATTGAGGTTTGACAAGGTTAAGAACCTTGCCCAAGAGCATATAACTATTAGGGGGTGGTGGCAGTCAGGCCACCAAGTACCATGCTACGCCACCCCTTGGTGATGTGTGTCAGTGCTCAGCTTAGAGCCTCCAATGTGCTTGCTCTTGTCATAGCGAGTCTGGGCAGACAATGGGGGGCTGTGGAAGCTCCCAGGCTAAGGAGTTTGGACTTCATCCCAGGGAACTGGGAACCCTGAAAGGTGTAAGTGGGAAGCGTGCCATGGTTAGGGGATGTTGTATAAACCTCCCTGGGACAGCTGGAAATGGGGGTTTGGGGGACAAAGGGGAAGCTGTTGCAACAGTGCAGGGGAGAAGCATCAGGGTCTGAGCCAAGCCAGGGGGTGCAGGGCTGATTTGAAAAATATAGAGGAGAGACTCAACTGAACGTGCTAACTGATTAGAGAGGATGGTGGAAGTGGGATGAGTGGGACTAAGAGGGAGGGGGAGCTGAGGATAACTTACAGATTTCTGATTTGAGGGGCGGCGGCAGAGAGAATGTGGAAAGTCTCAGTCACAAGGCTTGATGTGGGCTGGACCCCAGGTAAGCAGTTTAAACTAGAGATGGGGGTTTGGGAGCGCCTTCCCCAGGGGTGCTAGTGGATAGTGTGAGCACAGTGGTCACCCAGGGAGCTGGGCTATGTCCGAGCAGGGGTCCAGGGACTGGTTCTGAGCTCAGCCATATACGGAGGAGAGCAGAGGAAGGGGACCCAGGAAAGGAGAAGGAGAAAGGGAAGGCGGTGAGGCGACAGGGGACAGAGAAAGAGAGGGGGTTTGAGGAGCACAGAGAAGGCCCTGCATGAAAGGCTGGCGAGAGAGCCCACGCAGCTGCACGGATCCCGGGAGTCAGGAGGAGGCTGGGGCCTTGGCAACCAGCTTTAGTGAATGGTGGGGACTGAACAGCAGAGCATTGAGGAGTGGGAGTTGACGCAGTAAACAGAGAGAGAGAGAGAGAGAGAGAGAGAGACAGAGAGAGACAGAGAGAGACAGAGAGAGAATGTTTGTAACTTGTGAAGGAAGAAACAAGGGGAAATGGGACGGAGGTGGAGGTGGGCTCTTCACGGACCCCCTCTTGGGCAAAGGAAGATGATGCCTTTGCTTTCACCCCTAGAGCAGGATCAGGAGGGAGAAGAGGCTAGAACTGGGATGCGAGGGGACAGATGGACGCCCACAGGTGGGGAGAGGAGAGGAGACAGGAGGAGAGGCATCGTAGTTAAAGGACAACAAGGAGGCTGGAGTGCCCATACCCACCTCAACCGATTTGGGTTTGCCGCTGTTTCTGTGGCACTTTGAGCAGATCCCTAACTCCTCTAAGCCCCTGGACAGATGGGGTTTGTGACACCCTCCCTTGTCTGCCAGGCATGACAGAGACCCGCACTGATGTGTGTAGCTGGCTCTCCCTGGCCTGTGAGAGCAGATTGTTAGTTTCAAAGAACTTACGAGCTGCTTGTTAAACACAGCCATTATTAATGACATAAACTTTATGTCATTATTTGAATGACATAAACTTACAATTAAAATGAATCATATGAACAAAAGTAATAATTATTCAATTAACACATCGACTGCATCAATATAGAGGAATTACTACGTAATGGTGTGTGTGTGCCTGTCCCCACCCCCGTGTTCAGTGACGTCATGGTGGTAGCTTGAAGTTGGCCATAGCGAAATATTTACACCACAAACCAACAAACACCACAAATCAGGGTTTCTGTCCTCAGAGACCCAGTTGTTAAGTATTGCCAGCACACCTTTGGACAAGTTGCTTAGAACACACTCCTCAGGAACCTGGACAGGGCACAGCATTCCCACGACTCTTCTGCAAGCCCATCAAAGCATTATGGTGACCCTAGCTCCCAGGGGAAGGGGCAGGTAGCTCAGTTCCAGGGGAGGGAAGTCGAGGGCGGGGCCTCACGTACCCAGGCTGAAGAGGTTGACAGCACCATAGTCCAGGAAGTAGCAGATGTGCCGGACGTTCTTGGACATGGAGCTGAAGGTATGTGCACAGCTGGACACAAGTGGGTACACGCAGCTGGTGCTCATGTACACAAGCAGAGGCCAGGAGTAGCTGTCGTTCTGGACATCCGTCACATACAGAGTGGTCACAAACCTCCACATGAAGAACCTGGAACACAGTGTGACCCACTCAGTCCCTGGGTCTGGGGGCTCCTCTTACACTCTCCACTTGACCATCTTCTATCTTCCGTTCCCCAGGATGGCCCATCACTAGGTGTTCTCACTTTGGTGAAATGCCATGAGCAAGGGAGGGTGAGTGGGCTCCTTTTTTGGTTGGGAATATTCAGAAGGGGCCAGTAGACAGCCTTTGGTCCAGTCCCCTCCTCCTGCTTATGGTGACATCCCACTTACCAAGTGGTTCTCCAGCCTCAACTTGCACACTTCCAGGGGTGGGGAGCTCACCGCCTCACAAGGCAGCTCTGACTATTGGAAAGTTCTTCACGGAGCTGCTATCTGTCTCCCTGGAATCTATCTCCATTTGATCAGCCCTAGTTCTCTCTGATGGGACCATAGAAAACAAACCCATCAAATAACTTCCGGTCGGCTTTAGCTCAAGTGGTTACTTTATCATTCAGACTACTAACCCCTACCCATCAAATAACTTAAATCAGTCTTTATAACCCCTCCCTATCCCCTTTGAACTTTAAATAATCTTGGTGCATTGAACCATTCCTCATAAAATCCAAATTTGGCCTGGTTACCATCCCTGTGGTTTGCCTATGTCCCCCTTACAGGAAGGCTCCCCAAACAGAAGCAATCCCCCAGGTGGGACCTTGAAAGTCTAGAACACAACAGGGCGTTTTTCTCCCTCCTTTTCCACACTGGTCCTCCACTAACATCACAATCACTTTTCTGAGTGGCCAAGGCCCACACTGACTCTCAGCCGAGGCTGGGTCTCTGGGCTCCATCTCTACACAGAGATATTGCACAGTTCTGTGTCAGATCTACCTAACCTATAATCCATACAAGGGGGTCCTACTTCCAGGGCTGCCCACTTCCACAAACTGCTTGAAAGCGAGTCCCCCTTCCCCGAACTCTCCGAGGGAAGGAGACTACAAAGATTTTCACGCAGGAACCCCCAAAGTATCACTAAATCCTCTGGCTGTACTTATGATCTTTTTCCTCATGTCCCAGCAGAAATAAAAAATCCTTTGATCATCTCAAGATTATTCCTTAGTCCCATTTCCTTAGGGCATCTTACTCCTGGCTCCCCCAAACCCTCCTTATACTCTGTGTTGTTCAGTTGGGTCTGGCAGTGTAGGGGTCTGTAAGCAGTGGGGTGCCTCCGCCAGCGCAGTTCAGTTGTCAAACAGCTAAGCAGTCATCCCACAGGATTTGCGCACGCGGCTCAGGCCCCGCAAACAAGGATGTTTGGCCAGCACTCTTTGTAGCGGCACAAACTTCAAAACAGCCTAAATCACCTGTGGTTCATCCATAAAATGGACACCATGCAGCTGTTCCAAAGTCTGAGAAGCTGTGGGTCAGACAGAGCTCACTGAGGGAGCAGAGCAGGGAAAAAGCAGTGCAGGAAAGAACTAGGTGCTGGACACACACACGTCACAGATGCTCTGTCTCTAGAAAAGTCCCGAGGGGGGTTGGGGTGTGGGGGTGTGGGGGACCTGGAGCAGGTCACCTGGAGGTCAAACTGGAGGCTTGAGGAACAACAGGGGCCAGGGGAGATGTTGACTCTATTCCCTTCTGCAAGTTACTATTTGTTAGCATTTAGACTTTTTAAAGTTCACTTAGCTCACTTAAATTTAAAACAACAAACAGCTTCCTTGTGCAGGATTGTGCTGCCACCCTGACCAGTCAGCAGGCCATAGGCTTCTTTACAGATGGTCCTAGTCCACCACAGGCCTAAACGCTCTCTCCTTCCCTAGGGAGGTTTCTGGCACTTTCCTTTGAGTGGCAGCTCTGGGTCTGTCTCGGACTCCTGATGGAGCACACTGCCTTCCTCAGGCCCATCTGCACCTGCATACACTTTTGGTCCCTTCTACTCTCTTGGCTTCTTGACATGATTGTGAATCCAGAGACCAGCCTGTGCAGAACTTGCTGTGTAATGTAAGCAAGTCACCCTCTTCTCTGGGCCACATCTTTGTCTGGCAACGGTGGTCGGAGTGGGACAGTGGCCACCATGACCTCTGAGGTCCTTCCAGCTCTGATATCCTATGATTTGGCCTTTGACTCCATCTCCTCTTGTTATGCACAGGCATGAGGTGTGTGAAGCTGGTCTTGCCCCGCCCCACCCCTTTCTCAGCAATATCCTTCTTCACCTTCCTGGAAACTCCACTTGTGCATACACATTCATGTCAGAGCTTTGCTCTTAGCTGCTCCATTAAACTGCTACTTGACCAAGTGCCTACAGCTGCTGTGTGGTTCCAGAGTGATGACAGGGCACCCATAGCTCTGTGCCCAATGCCTTTTCCAACGTTTTCTCCCATAATCCTCACAGCAACCCTGGGGGAGGTGCAGACTATCCTCCTGTTTTGCAGAAGGGAAAATCTGAGGCTCAGAAAGGTTGGTTAAGTGACTTGCTCAAGCTCATGACTTTTTAACCAGGGCTTCTGGAAGACCTAGAAAGCCTCCAAGACTTAAGGGGATAAGATCAAATCAGGCCCTAGAGCAGGGAAGGCTGGGGAGCCCCACAAATCCTACCACAATCCATGCCCTAAAGCTCACCTCAGCTCTACACCCATACACCATGGGGAGTCCCCCAAATCCCAGCATGGCATCTCAGTCCTCCCATCCCCAGCTATGTTTTAAAGAAGCCCCAGTTCCCAGGGGTCCCAAATGAGATGGGCTGGTCAAGGGGGCTGGAAGGTACCAGAAGGGAAGCAAGTGAGTCCAGATGTTGAGGGTCTCATTGGTCATTTGGAAAAGGCTGAGGATGCAGGCAGTGGCAGAACTCTGTGGGTGTCGGTAGCCAAAGAGGATGCCCTGTTCATGGAACACCTGTATGGGGAGAAAAAGGGGCACCGAGGTGAGACAAGAGGGTGGCAGGAAGGTCTCAGGGGGAACATCTCTGGTAGTATACGGTTTTCTCCCAGGCTGTGCAGCTGAACACTTGAGCCTGGAACACCTGACCCCATGTCCTTGACCTGTCAAGCAGCTCCCTTCCTTCCATCCCCCCTAGACCTTCTGAAATCCATGTCCTTCAAGACACCTGCAGCCAGCTGCAGCGGAGAAATCAACGTCCTGGCTCCCTTCGGGAATCCAGGCTGCCTTCCATTCTCAGACACACTTACTCTTGTCATGAGTATGACCTAGAATTTCTGCTTTGGCACCCTCTGCCTGGGGCCTACAGCCCAGTCCTTAGATGCCTTCGTGGATGATTGACATATATGCTGTCTGTCCGAGCCAACAAGCCCCAGATGTCAGGGGTTGGTGGGAAGATCTCTGCAGAAGATCCCTCCAGTGTCAGGATATATTCACCAAGGTGCTTCATAAAAGCCTTTTGATGATGAAGACTATGACGGCACCAGCCTGGGCTGAGGTAGAGGAGGAGGTTGGCCACAGCAGGCCTGCATGAACCACTCTCACTCCATGCAGCCCGCTTAGCAAGTCTCTCAGCAACCACCCCCATGAGAGACTGGGGCTGGTCAGGTAACATATGGGCTATTCAACCCACCTGGACGACTGCATGACCTCCGTTAAACGTGGTCATTGTGAAGGCAGCACGGCAAGAAGGACAAAAGCTTAGGATGCAATATAAAAAAAAAGCAGAATGTAAATTGTGTTCCAGCCCTGATTATAAGGACTATAGAAATTTCAGTACATGTGGCGGGGCAGAGGCTGGGAGGAAGTAGGCAAGTGAAGAGTTTCATTTGTTGAGATAGCAGGATTTACAGGAGACTTTCTTCTCCCTTTGTGTTGATTTAGATGAGGGTTTTTCAATCTTCACACTATTGACATTTTTGGCCAGATAATCCTTTGTTGTGGGGGGCTGTCCTAGGCATTATTTAACCGTATCCATGCCTCTCCCTAATAGATGCCAGTAGCGTACAAGGTGCCCCTCTCCCAAGTTGTGAGAACCAAAAATGTCTCCAGATATTGTCAATGTCCCCTGGGGGGTAAAATCTCTCCCATTCAGGACCATTGATTTAGATGAATATTGTTATCACCTTTGAAAGATAAATTTAAAATGTGTAGATTAATTGAGGCAACTAATAATAACATCAGTAGTCATAATACAAATCAGGTCACCATTTTCAATCTTTCGCTTCGGTTTTTCTAGGGCTGATGGAAGAAGGGAAGGCTGGGAGAGTTCCAACTTAGACACCCGTCTCTCCTTGGGTTACCAACTTCTTAGTTTAAGAAAGGATCCTGATTCAAAGACACACAATATATTGGGCTGTTGGAAAAGTCATGATGTATTTTTTCTTTGTTTTTTGTTGCAAAAATGCGTCATGACTTTTCCGACAACCCAATAGAACATAACTGTACTATCTCCTGGGGTTCTGAGTCATGAGGTCATATGAAATAGTGGAGAAAGTAAGGGGTTATCAGAGTAGAGTCAAATGTGGGCCACTAACATGCCATGTGACCTTGAGCTGGGTCACACCTCTCAGGGCCTCAGCGTCCTCACCTGTGAAACGGGAGGCATTAGCTACCTGGATGGTCAGTACGTTCCCTTCTCAGTTCAATTCTGGGTTAAACTGGTCAACAGGGGGAGGAGGATAATGAAGTTGGTTCATGGTCCAGTGAAGAAATACTATTTGAATTAGATTTGGGTCTTAACTAATTAAAGCGATTTGTTCCAGCTTTAGGTTCACTGTTCAATTCCGCTGACGTCCCAGCTTACAGTGGACAGGCTTCTCTAATGGACAGCAGGAATCTTGGCTCGCAGCTGCCCACCCCACCAGGGCTGCCAGCAAGGAGGCAAATGGGCCAACGGCCTTCAGCCATCCGCCCACGAGAGGATGGCGCGGGCTTGGCACACACTCAGAGGCCCTCCAGCAGAAACTATGGGTCTCTCATTCTACCTCTTTTCTTTCTTTCTTCCTTTTTATTTATTTATTTTTTTAATTAAAACATTGGCTGCTTGTTAAAATGCAAAGACTCCAGAAAGGAGTCATTGTTACTATTCACTCCTTCCCATGAATGAGTGTAGCAGACCCTGTGTAGCAGGAGACCTCATAACAAGGGTCCGGCAGAGCACTGGGCATGCAGGCGTGGTGGCACAGCGGGAGGAAGCAGGCCAGGGCTGCAGGACATCTAGGACACAGTGGACCACAGGTAGGCAGTGGATGGACAGGAGACAGAGGGGAAGAACACCTACATTTTGCCCAGGGTGACTCAGGGTGTGACTACTGTCCTTTCTTTGAGCTCCGCATTTTGGGAGGCAAGAGAGGATGGTGACATAGTCAAAAGCCAGAGGAGAACAGAGGGACTAGGGAATCGGCAGACTGGACATCCTGACCACACTAAAGAATCTGGCCCAGATCTGGGGAAGGTACCTTACCACTAAAGCCAGGGCTGGGCCCAGACTGCAAGAGCCTCTCCCTTTGAGCTGCTCTCCGGGCCCCAGACATGGGAGGGAAGCCTACTTGAACCATGCCATAGGGGCAGAATTTAAAACAGCCCCTCCTAAAAAAAGGACAGATGGATGAAGGATGGATGAAAGACAGGGAGTCAGTCCTTGTGTCCCAGAACAGTGATGTTCTGACCTGTCTCTCCCCTCCCCAACTTGAACCTCAGTTTATTTAGGCCACATTGCCAGGTGCACTCCCGGCTGAGCACCTCTGAGTGCAGGGAGGAGACTTGTTCTCCCCATCTACCTGCTCTAGCCTTAGCAAAGCACTTTGCTTAGAGTTGATCTTAACAGAGCGCGTGCTACATAAATCTAAACAAACGAAACGTTTGAAAACAATTTTGTATTCACACCCAGTTTGACCCCAAAAGGAAAATTGCAATCATTGCCTTAATGCTCTGTAGCTGGGCCTCATTCCTGAGCACCCCCAGGTTAGCAAGCACCGGCTTATTTGCACAGCAGAATTGATTTGTCGGACTCCGCTTTGCATCCCTGCTTGCAGGCTGGGCAATTTAGAGTGAAATGAAATCAAATTGTGCACAGCCTATTATGTATAAGTGAGAACCTCCAGGCACCGGGGTAGAAGGGCACGTCAGCAGGTTTTCCTTTTAGTGCCTGCCATGGGCTTAGCTTCCATGAAAGACCCTGTGCACCTGCCAGCTGATGCCTGAAATTCCACTGCAACCATTTTAAACCCTTGGTTTTTCTAGCTATTAAACTGCAAATCACCTGGGAAAGTAATCGGGCATTCTGGTTGGTGGCAAATAAGTGGATTTTGAATGAAGACAAAAGGGAGAGGCAGAGTGAGGTAAGGAGGCCACAGGCACCCGCAGAGTGGAAATCCGCAATTCCTGTCCAAATCTCATGGCATCCTCACAACCTTGTGAGGGAGAGCCTTCTACTGTCCCCATTTCACAGAAAAGGAAACTAAGGCCCGAGGAGGTTAAGGCATGTATCCAAGATCCCGGAAATAGTGGGAGCAAAGCTAAAACCTAAATGCAAACATCAGACTCCACTACTCCAGCCTCTTGCATTATCATTGCTGTCACTCGGAAGAGCTCTGCTGGAGATGAAACTCATCTCTTGGCCTGCAGGGTGATTTGGGACTGTCACATAGTTCTCTGAGCCTCAGTTTCTTCCTCTTTAAAGTGGTGTTATGGGCTGAGCTGTGTACCCCACAAAATTCACATGTTGAAGCCCTAACCTCCAGCACGTTAGAATGTAACCGTATTTGGCGATAGGGTCTTTAAAGAGGTGATTAAGTTAACATGAGGCCAGTAGGGTGGGTCCTAATCTAATCTGATCCATGTCTCTCATAAGAAGAGGGAATCTGGACACTCAGACACCAGAGGTACAAGTGCACAGAGAGATGACCACATGAAGAAGCTGCAAGAACGCAGCTGTCTGCGAGCCAAGGAGGTAGCTTCAAGAGAACCAACCCTGTCGGCACCTTGACCTTGGACTTCCAGCTTCCAGAATGTGAGAGAATAAACTTCTGTTATTTAAGCCAGCCAGTCTGTGGTACTTTGTTACGGCAGCCCGAGCTGACTAATGCACAAGTGGTGAGGTGAGGTTGGGTGACAAGGTCTCTAAGCCAGTACCTCTCAAGCTTTCACCTGCAGATCACCTGGGGGGGGGGGGAGGTCTTACTGCAGTTGGGCGGGGCTGGGGTGAGAGCCGGCATTTCTAACAAGCTCCCCAGGGCGTGTGGATGCTGCAGCTGCCTCTAGCTTCACAACGGAGGCTCCTGCCTCAGCATCGTGCTGTCGCCTCCCTAGAATCCAGTTCATCACAGAAGAGGAGGTTCCCTTTAGAAAAGAGGGACAAGATGAACCCAAAGACACGGGCATGGAAAGCCAGCACGGGAGACAGAGACCAGCAAGGCGCCTAGCGAAGCGCTGTGGGCAGAAGGCCTGGAGAGAATCGGAAGGAAGAGGGCGGGTCATGAACTGCTACATCCACTTTTTTTTTTTTTAGCAAAAGAAAGCAAGCAAATTTAATACATGTGGGAACCCTGCCATACATGAGAGAATCAGAGACCCCACATGCACGAGAGGTTCAGAGATAGAAAGGGGCCCTGAGGTATACAAGACATCCCGAGCTAGGGATTGCTGCGTCAAGTTTAACCTGAGAACTTTTAACTTGTCATCTGGTGAGTGCCTGCGGTGTGCCTGGCATTGGGCTGGACGTGAAGCCACTGTCTCATGCAGGGCCATGCTTAGTTCTGGCAGGAGAAAACACTTAGGTCCTCAGTTAAAAGAGCATCAAACATCCCTTGCACACAACTTACATGCAATTACTAGAACTGTAAAAACACTGAATTAACTGCCAACCATTGTTGGTATTAAGCAATTACAGGTAAATGCTAACTTAGAACACTGATGTGATGTTCTTTTAAAAAAAATAACTGTCCAATACTCAG